TTGGTTGTCAGCAGCAAACTGGTTGATCCACTCTGAGAAGGTGCTATTTAAGAGACTGAGCTGAATACAGCTCCTCAGACTGAGGAAGTCTCTCGGATGAGAGACGAAACGTTTCTACATTTTTTTTTGTTGATTTGCTTTGTTTTGTTTTTTTGAATGTCCAGAGGACCAGATTTAACTTTTTTAGATTTTTCTACCTGGATTATTGAGCATGCATCAGGATGTTATTTCATTGATTTGAATCCAGAAATACAAATTAGCTCATCCAGAGACTGTCTAATTGTATCCTGAACTAATCAATTGAAAGACCACTCTACTTTTGATTTATCAAGATATTGTAAAATAGTAATGATAATATAAAAGAAGAATGTTCTTTCAATTGATTACTTCCAGATACAATTAGACAGTCTCTGGATGAGCTAATTTGTATTTCTGGATTCAAATCAATGAAATAACAGTTCCTGTCCCATGAAGGTCTTCAGAGGCAGGTTTTGGTCGGAGGCCTAGTTCACTACAATGGCAACAGGAACAGTTCATCTGTGGTAAAATAGAGACATTTATTGTCTTAATCCAAACAAAAACCTTCACTAAATGTCATAAAACAAATATTCCATGGCCTGTAGTCCATATAATGTTTCTACGGAGGATCAGCTGCTGAGTCTGTTTCTGGCTCTTTTGAAGGTCAGTTACAGTAAAAACAAAAAATCTAAACCAGTCCATGGGTCACACCATGTCTACCTTAGATGAAAGAACCCAAACATAACAAGTTGCTGTTTACTAATTTATTGAACAATTGTTTCATTTAAACAGTGACATCACTCTCGTGTTTTAAATTGTTTAAACAAACAAACAAAAAAAGAAAAATAATGTACCAAGCAAGAAAACAAATAAAAATGTTTAAAGGTGTTATTATACATTGGACAATGTCCTCCAGAAGTTCAGTGTATGTGGTCGAGGTAACGAGCTCGTTTGGGTGAAGCATGATGTCGTGCATCTTCCCAGACTTCAGAGCATCATTTACAGACTGGACCATTGCAGGTCTGGTGTTCCACCTCATCTCTCCACAGCTGGACCAGTCCAGAGCCTTGTGGAACCTAAAAGTGAAAGAAGACGGTGCACAAGTCAAAATAGAGTTACAGTGACTACAAATTAGTATCTGTTGGTCTTTCTTTTGGAAAAAATATTTGATCAAAAACAAGAGATTTACAATTGAAAGTAAGTTAAAAAAAAGTGACCTTTGCAATTATAAATTACATTAGCTCAATTTTTCTTTATTTCACTTATTATATTTTATAGTTACTTAAACAGCCTCACCAGGCAGAGATTACAAGATGTTATGTATCTGTAGGAGTAAGTTTAGATTTAAGGATGAGGGTTATGTGTGGAACCAGAACATTGCACCCTTCCTCCGACATCCAGCTTAGCTTTCCGGTACACTTCAGGACGTCAACGGCTTGTTACCTGAGATGGTGGATACCTCCACTCCGGAACAGAAGTCCATTAGTACGCTCCCTTTTCAGCATCTCTGGTTAAAGTAGCTGGGTCATCAGAATAAATACCGAAGTACTCGATTCCACCGAATAAGCTTCCTTAGAAGTGGAGCATTTACTGCTCAGGTTGAGTGCACAGCAATGTGAGCTGTGACTCCGCTGAAAATGGAGGGACCCTTGGCACATGGTCCCATCCATCCGCTATTTAGTTGAGTCTCATCTCTGACTGAAAGTTCCAGCAAGACTGGAAAAGACTAAGACTCGTGAAGACTAAGACAAGACTCCGACTGAGTTCTAGGACTGACTGAATAGTTCCAAGAAGTGTTCCTTTTAAAGGGGTATCCACGTCCTGTTACGTGGTACTTCCTGATTGGTTGAAACAACCAGCAGGGGTGTGGTTCTAGTGATGTCAGAGGGTCACTAGAAGTCAAGAGACAGCAGGAATGTTTTTAAAAATGGTTAGTACAGACAGAGAAATATTATGACGAGGTGAGACAGAGCAGGTGCCAGTTGAAGTTATTTAGTGTCTGCGAGTTTTAAAAACAAGACACTTCGTTCTAATAACTCGTCTCTGACTTTCGACCGACATGCAGTCCACTACCCTCATTCAGACAGAAGGCTAAATGCACACTTACTTCATAAATAGGCATTTAACTGTATGATCAAAAATCTAACAAGGTTTAAAAATCATTAATACCGTTTCACAGTTGATTTAAATGAGTGGTTCACTTCAACATTTAGAAATGGTATGAACTAAACACACTTTGGATTATCAAGATATTGTAAAATAGTAATGATAATGTAAAAAGAAGAGTGTTCTTTCAATTGATTAATTCAGGATACAATTAAATAGTCTCTTGATGAGATCATTTGTATTTCTGGATTCAAATCAATGATATAACAGTTCCTGTCCCCTGAAGGTCTTCAGAGACAGGTTGAGGTCGGAGGTCTATTTCACTACACTGGACCATTGCAGGTTTGGTGTTTCACCTCATCTCACCACAGCTTGACCAGTCCAGAGCCTTGTGTAACCTAAAAGTGAAAGAAGACGGTGCACAAGTCAAAATAGTGTCACAGTGACTACAAATTACAATCTGTTGGCCTTTCTTTTGGAAATAAATATTTGATCAAAAACAAGAGATTTACAATTGAAATTAAGTTAAAAAAGACCTTTGCAATTATAAATTACATTAGCTCAATTTTTCTTTATTTATTTCACTTATTATATTTTATAGTTACTTAAACAGCCTCACCAGGCAGAGATTACAAGATGTTATGTATCTTACCTGCTCTTTTGAAGTGTGTGACAAGGGTCTTTGTGTCCAAAGCTGTTTAACAGCTTGCTTCCAGAGCTAACAGCTTCCTGTGTTAGGTAGAAAAATTAAATTAAATTGAAGACAAACAAAAAGCTTAGTGCTACTTCTTGTGCCATGCTTTATAAAACAGTTATTGGATCAAGTATTTCCTTATGTAGGTAAACATAGATGTTTTAAAACCTGTTAAAATACACCAGAATGCAGGAAATAGCAGCTACTTTATTCAAAAAGTTATGGGGGAGGACCCTCAGACCTCGCACCAATATGTCCCCCTACAATAATTCTAATGCTAATACACTGTGTGGTTCAAGCCAAGAGCCATTGTCAACACTGGGGGGCAAAGGCCCCTAAAAAGGGCTTCTAGAATCGCCCCTGGTGTGAAGAAATGAACTGAGAAAAATCAACTCTTGGCCTAAAATTTAACACAACATAATTGTACACATCATATCTTAAATCTAAAACTAAAACAGTTATAATGTATATGCAACCAGTCTTTCATATAAAAACTGCGATATTTTTACCGGAGAATACTTTCACTAACGAGTTTGATGTTGTACTGGCATGGTTACAGCCGACAGTAACTATTTACACAATAAAGTGATGGTTATTCATGTTTTCCTCGATTTCAGTATCCAGCAGGACGTCACAATATCAACATAAAAATATTTTTACTGGAGAATGCGTTCACTTTAACCAGGGAGGGTGGGGGGGGGGGGGGGGGGGGTTACATTACAAACGGCAACAATGAAGATTTTAACCTAAAAACCCACATAACAAAGCAGAGCATAATTTTTAAATTAAAAGGGACAAGGTGGAGAAAAATGCGCTGTTTGAGTTTATTTATTGACGGTAAACAAAGTCCGACTCCCTGCAGCTCCTCACAGCTGAGACTAAAGTTTAAATCAGCACAGCACCAACACAACTCTCATGAAGTTCAAGGTTTTTTGACACTTTCCTGCCTGTTCTGTGAGTTTAATAGACAGACAGTTACTTCTTACCTTGCGATGCAAACTATTTTCAGTTACTCTGTACTGCTTCGCTGCTCCTCCCACCCTCTCGGTGAAAAGCTACAGTTGGAACAGTTGACTCCTGGGAAATGTAGTTCTTTTGACTTATGTTAAAGTGAAGGCTTACTGAAAGAAAACTACAAAATAGCTGCGTCCATGTTATTTTTTTGGTTTGTTTGTTTCATTTTCATTTTTGGTTATTGGTCGGTTCCCGCTCCTGTCTGCTCCCATTAGCTTTCAGTCCGGTCACGTGAGTTATAATGAGGTTGACTCCGGTCCTGCCGGAATCCGGACAGAATCACGTGACCTGCGGTACTCCCGAAAAAATGTCATCCTCTATTAACTTGCTTTCCAACACTGACAGTTTTGGGTAGAGCATGTGGGCGACGCAGCGTGGCCAAGTAAGACATAACTCTGTCGCCATACATTTGGCTCTAAATTCCACACATTTGAGCTGAGGTGAAACACAATCAGTATGATTGGTCATTATCCACCCCTTGAACAGGAATCCATGATAAGTGGCCAATAGCCTCCACAGCGCCCCCTAGAATATTTTAAAACCTCAGCCCCAAGCCAATTTATGACAGATAATTCTGAAACTCCGTGAACATCTGTATCTTCTCAGGACCTATGAAAAAGTCTCTTGGAGCCCTGGTCCAAACTCAACAGGAAGTTGTCCATTTTGGGTCAAAGGGTCATTTTTGGGCATTTCTAATTGCGAGTTGTAACAAACTCCTCCTAGGGATTTTGAAGGATTGCCTTCAAACTTGGTTAATATGCCCTTAAAACATTGGGGAGTAAAAGTTATCAAAAGCTTGTGTTTTCATACATGTTTAAGGGACGTGGCCAGGCCTCAAATTTGAGCTTCATGCCGTTACTTTCCAAACGCTATAACTTTCACATTGAAAGACCGAAATGCAACAAACTTGGCATGAGTCATCCCTGTTAGATGCCCGATGATCCTTTTTGGTCGTATTCGGACTTCATCAAAGCCCCGACCCCTCAGAACAGGAAGTCACTTTTTTTACTTGGAATGCTCCCTCTCTGACACCCTTGACTTAATCAATCTTAATCAAGCCATTGGCACCATGGTACGGTTAGCCGTGTAGTGATGGCACTTGATGGCAAATGAAAAATGTTGTATCTAAATCTTTAGTTCTTAATCATTTATCTGTGTCTCCATACAGACGGTGGGTGCTGCAACATATGCTGCGTCAGTTACGTGCTGTGAACCACCACAAAAGCCAGCAAGAGGTTGAAGCAGAGGTTGATGCAGAAAGGACTCAACATGTCAGTGATCAACTTTCCCGAATAATTTATGAAGAAATGACGGTGTGCTCTGATGCTGCCTGCCGGTATCCCAGTAATTACAATGCTTGGTCTCATCGCATCTGGGTGCTAAGACACATGGCCAAAGGCAACATTAAGGTTGGATTTTAGGCATTTATTAAATACCTGTTAGATTATATATACAGGTGCTGGTCTTAAAATCAGAATATCATGAAAAAGTCGATTTATTTCAGTAATTCCATTCAAAAAGTGAAACTTGTATATTATATTCATTCATTACACACAGACTGATATATTTCGAATGTTTATTTCTTTTAATGTTGATGGTTATAATTAGGGATGGGGCCGATCCGATCCAGTATCGGTATCGGTCTCCAATACCAGCATAATTTACATATCTGATTTTCCGATCCACCTGCCGATATTTCCGATCCATGATGCATGTTGGCTTCAAACTATGGAATGGATTTCCTGAATGGCGGCGTGTCTCATGAACCCAGAGTAATAAGACCCGCCTCACATTCAGGAAATCCAGTTCATAGTTTGCAGCCAGCTACAACGTGACGACTGAGTTAGCAGCACTGTGGCTAACAGCTAACAAACTTTTCATCTAAACATGTCCGCTGTGTGGAAGTATTTTACACTAGAAACACCACAAAACAAGACAGCAACGTGCAATGTCTGCAGAGCCATAGCACCACATTAAACCATCGTAAAGTTAGTTTTACGTTGAACATTCGAGCTCCGTGGCTTCAGCGGGGCGCTACACTTTGCTCAACCCACAAAAGGCGACTCGACCCCGGCCAGCCGCGTCCAATCTGCCCCGCTCAGTCTGCCCGTCTCTGAGCAGGGACAGACTGAGCGTGGCTGCCCCAAATCAGGCTGCCTGCTTCAGACTGAGCAAGAAGAAGACATCGCTGAAACCACGGAGCTCAAATGTTTACAGAGAAGTTGCTAAACTTCATAATTAATGACCAACCACTGTCAGTTGTAGAAAACGAAGGATTTCACAGTTTGATACTTGTAGCCAAGATATAGTTTACCCTCCAGGAGATATTTATCAGTACAACAGTAGACAATCATAAAAAGACATTATTTGAAAATTATATATCCATCCATTTTCTGTACCCGCTTATCCATTTTGGGTCATATATTAAAAACAAAAACAGCTACATTATAAAGTGATGTAAAATACTAAAAACAGGAACATGTCTGTTGGTTTATGCCATGAACTTAGCAGGTGTTTGAAGCCATTTAACATTTTATTTTATTTTGTTCATTTATTCATTAATTTAAAAGAAACAATAAAAAAAATCAAAAAGAAAACATTGAATGAAAAGAGTGCAGAAAGTATAAAAAAATTATTAGATCTGCCCCTTATTTAAAAAAATATAAAATAACTTTAAATAATCACTTAAATTAATCACTTTAATATCCACTTTAAAGCTAGGAATAAAAAAAAAAAACATGTTTTGTGTTAGCAGAATTTAATTCTAACTTTAAATTTTATCCAACATTAATACAACTTACCTCAAGTTGCCTTTTTGGACATGCATGCATATATTTGTACAAATTGTATTTGAGAGGAGATTATTACAGCCTAATATAAAATCAATGATGATCATGATATTGGAACTGGATCGGTATCGGCTAATATTCAGTTTTAGGGATCGGGATCGGATCGGAAAAAAAAAAAAAGTGGATCGGTGCATCCCTAGTTTTAATTGACAACTAATGAAAACCCCAAATTCAGTATCTCAGAAAATTAGAATATCGTGAAAAGGTTCAATATTGAAGACACCTGGTGTCACACTCTAATCAGCTAATTAACTCAAAACACCTGCAAAGGCCTTTAAATGATCTCTGTCTAGTTCTGTAGGCGACACCATCACGGGGAAGACTGTTGACGTGACAGTTGTCCAAAATACGACCATTGACACCTTGCACAAGGAGGGCAAGACACAAAAGGTCATTGCTAAAGAGGCTGGCTGTTCACAGAGCTCTGTATCCAAGCACATTAATAGAGAGGCAAAGGGAAGGAAAAGATGTGGTAGAAAAAAGTGTACAAGCAATAGGGGTAACTGCACCCTGGAGAGGATTGTAAAACAAGACCTATTCCAAAATGTGGGGGAGATTCACAAAGAGTGGACTGCAGCTGAAGTCAGTGCTTCAAGAACCACCACGCACAGACGTATGCAAGACATGCGTTTCAGCTGTTGCATTCCTTGTGTCAAGCCACTCTTGAACAAGAGACAGCGTCAGAAGCGACTCGCCAGGGCTAAATACATAAAGGACTGGACTGGTGCTGAGTAGACCAAATTTATGTTCTCTGATTAAAATAAATTTAGCATTTCCTTTGGAAATCAAGGTTCCAGAGTTTGGAGAAAGAGAGGAGAGGCACAGAATCCACGTTGCTTGAGGTCCAGTGCCAAGTTTCCACAGTCAGTAATAGTTTGGGATACCATGTCATCTGCTGGTGTTAGACCACTGTATCTTTTGAGGTCCAAGGTCAATGCAGCAGTCTACCAGGAAGATTTAGAGCACTTCATCAGAATCAGAATCAGTTTATTATTGCCATGTCAATGAACGAGGTTCACAAACTAGGAATTTGCTTCGACATAAGGTGCGAATAGTAATAAAGTAAAAATAAAGTAAAAATGAAGTAAAAATGAGAACATTACATAAGACATAAGACCTGTGTACACCCACAAATAAAGTAACATTAAAACATAACATAAACATGTGTACACCCATACAATAGAAAACCATAAAAAAGCTTAGAGAACAGTACAGATGGAGTATTCAATTATAATACAGATGTAATGTGACCAAAGCAGAAGTTATGAGGTAGCATTTTGAGTGTTCAGGAGTCCAACAGCAGAGGGGAAGAAACTGTTCTTATGGCGGGAGGTTCTGGTCCGAATGGACCGAAGCCTCCTGCCTGAGGGGAGTGGTTCAAACAGTCCGTGTGCAGGGTGAGCAGGGTCAGCTGTGATCCGACCTGCTCGCCTCACAGTCCTGGAGACGTACAGGTCGTGGAGGGATGGAAGGCTGCAGCCGATCACCTTCTCAGCTGAGCGCACAACGCGCTGCAGTCTCAGTCTGTCCCTGGCAGTGGCCCCGGCGTACCACACCGTGATGGAGGAGCTGAGGACGGACTCGATGATGGCCGTGTAGAACTGCACCATCAGCTTGGCCGGCAGCTTGGCCTTCTTCAGCTGTCGCAGGAAGTACAGTCTCTGCTGGGCCTTCTTGATGAGGGAGCTGATGGTCGGCTCCCACTTGAGGTCCTGGGTGATGGTGGTGCCGAGAAACTGATAAGAGTTTGCAGTGGTGATGGGGGTATCATTACAGGTGAGGGGGGGCAGAGGGGCTGTGGCTTTCCTGAAATCCACAATCATCTTCAATGTCTTCTGGGCATTGAGTTCCAGGTTGTTGCTGCTGCACCAGGTCACCAGCCGGTCCACCTCCCTCCTGTATGCAGACTCATCACCATCCGAGACGAGCCCGATGAGGGTGGTGTCATCTGCAAACTTAATAAGTTTCACAGAGTCATGGCTGGAGGTGCAGCAGTTGGTGTACAGGGGGGAAAGCACACAGCCCTGTGGAGATCCTGTGCTTACATTCCGAGTGTCCGAGACAGCTCTCCCCAGCCGCACGCACTGACTCCGGTCTGTCAGGAAGTCTGTGATCCACCTGCAGGTGGAGTCAGGTACATGGAGTAGGGAGAGCTTGTCTTGGAGCAGAGCAGGGAGGATGGTGTTAAATGCAGAGCTGAAGTCCACGAACAGGATCCTGGCGTAGGTTCATGGGGAGTCCAGGTGCTGCAGGTGCTTCATGCTTCCTGCTGATGAATAAAGCTATCATTTCTAACCCGAAACCCGGCACGGACCGACCTGGATTATGGCTGGGCCGTTATAATGTGATTAATGGGCGGGCCAGGCCAATCTCGGGCTTTTAATTAGGTCAGGATCAGCCATGATCCAATTATGATTACTTGGCCTGCCATACATCCATCAGCCACACGCAGCCATTTCATCGTGAGCTAACTGGCCTTGAAAGAGGTAAAAAGTTCAGTTAAGCTTCAGATGGGACTGTACGGCTAGAAAAAGACCCATCACCCAAATGGACGTTCATTCGGATGCTAATGCTAATGACGCCTTGCAGGAACTGAATGATATAAATCAGCTCGCTGCAGAACAAACACCCTGAGCCTCTTTACATGGTAGCCAGAGACTTTAATCACGTTAATCCAAAGGACTGTCTCCCAAGCTTTTACCAGCATGTGGGCATTCCAATACGTGGAAACAACAGGTTGGACCGTGTTTACACGAACGTAAGAGATGCGTACAAAGCCGAGCCCCGCCCCCACCTAGGACTGTCAGACCACATCTCAATCTTAATGATACCTGCTTACCTGTCCCCGCTGAGACGCTCCAGACCGGTACAAAAGAAAGTTAAATGTTGGATCCAGGACAGTGGCTCCATACTGAGAGATTGTTTTGATCGAACAGACTGGCAGGTTTTCAGAGAAGCTGCTGAAAATGGAGGATCGCTTGATCTGGAACAATACGCATCCTCAGTTCTGGGTTACATTAGTTCATGTACTGACACATTCTCCACTATCAGATATGTTAAAAGATACCCAAACAGAAAACCTTGGCTGAATACTGAGGTGCGCACCCTGCTGGAAGCCAGGAACACTGCCGTCAGGTCTGGAAACTCACAGGAGCTGAGTAAGACAAGGAAAGAGCTGGTTGCTGGTATTAAGAAGGCCAAGGCCACATATGCACAGAGGATCGAGGGTCAGTTCACCTCACAAGATCCTCGGAACATGTGGAGGGGCATTAAGTGCATAATAGATTATAAAGGAAGGAGCGAACAATGTCCCAAAGACCCATCTCTGCCTGATGCCCTCAACAAGTTCTATGCACGCTTTGAAGACCCGAACAGACCACCCAGCACCAGACTCACCTCACCACCGGATGAAGAGCATCTCAGCGTGACCTCAGCCGAAGTAAGGAGTACTTTCAAGAGGATATATCCGCACAAGGCAACCGGCCCAGACAGTATCCCCAGAGAAGTGTTGAAAGAATGTGCCAATCAGGTCTGCGAGGTGCTGGCAGACATCTTTAACA